AGCTGTAAAAACCTGGAGATAGTAATAAATTATTTTAGTATATGAATGGAATCCCTACAATCGTCGATGGAGGGGATAAGAAGAAAACAACCGGAACAATCTTTCAGAAAAACTAATATCAAGACAACTAGATCCCTGTTTACTATTAAATCTATCATGGTCTTCGAACGAAGATCTCAACATTCAACAAAATGTATAATCATTCGAGCATACAGATAAACTGATAATTACAGAGACTCGGCTGCACGAAAAAACCTCAAGTGAAAAATTCACCTTTCCAAATTACAACATCTATAGATGACCGAAAATGAACTAGCCAGTTTGAACAAGGTGGTGACGTACTGGGAGTGGTGCACTTGAAATTTAACATGTAGAAATTACATCATCGCCCGTTTCTCGGAATTCTGGTGACGCTCGGGTTTTACAGAATTTGGCAAGGCGCGGGCGTGCGCCAACGACCGCGAGATATGAAGCGGGGGAGGGTCAGCGCTCAACACTTGCTTAACGCCTTCAGCGCTCAACACTTGCTTAACGCCTTCAGCGCTCAACACTTGCTTAACGCCTTCAGCGCTCAACATTCTGTATTTGGACATTCTGCTTTCAATTTCCGCCTCCGCCTCCGCCGCCGTCGCCGTCGCCGCCTGCCGTGCTGACGAACAATGGACCGAGGTAGGGCGCCGACGACTTACTACGTATTTTCTTTGCTGTCCGGGTCGTCGGCACCTTTGCCATGGACGCGGCGTCACCCGGACAGCTAAGTAAATACTGACTCCGGCCGCGGTAGCCTACGCTCTGACTTGCTACTTCCAGACACCTGGGCGCAGGACTGCCGCTCCCGTGAGTCGGGTCAGGACCGTTCCGGCGGCCACAGATGGACTCTGACCAGTACGGCCGTGTATGATAAGATTAGTTTTAAGTTAGTTTGTAAAATTAATTATAGCACGAGGCTTCACCTTGATCACATGAAAGGATTATTAAAATATTTTTTTAAACAATTGAAACAATGCGTTTGAGTGTTGTGGTAATTTTAGAGTAGCCCTATCATGCATGCCTCCCTCTAGTGAGTCCACCGACGGAGCAGGCGGAACAACGCTGATGTCGAAGAAAATCAGGTAATCAGGTGAGTCGGGGGTAACCACAGGAAGCAGAGGTGGTGGTTGCAATTAATACAACTCAACGTGATATATTTTCATCAATAGGTAAATTAGAAGCACAAATGGGTCCTGAACAGATGGAATTGTACCATTCTATCAAACGTTGTAATATTCTACCAAAAAAAGTAATACAAATCTTACTCCCATATTACATCTGTTTTCAAAATCGCTGACAAAGGGCTCATTTCCAGCAATCTGGAAAAAGTTTTATATCTCCTATTCACAAATCCGGTGACCAGTCTGATGTGAAAAATTATTGACCTATCTCCAAATTGAGCACAATACCGAAATTTGAGACATTTATTACCGATAAACCATCTGCTTCCCTACAGGGTATTCTAATTAACGAACAACATGGTTTTAGACGTAAGCGCAGAACTGTATCATTCAACTTAACATTTCAGCACTTCACACTAGAAAAATTAGAATCAAATTTCCAAGTTTATACCATTTACACAAATTTTTCTAAGGCGTTCGGCTCCATAAATAATTAACTATTTTCGATGAAATTATATAAAATTGGTACCTAGTACATTTTTAAAATGGATTAAAGATTATTTGTTAGAACAATTACAAATATCAAATACAAATTTTTATCTCAAGGAAAATAATGGTTAGATCTAATGTACCTCATGGTTCACATTTGGTCCCCTTATTCATATTTGTTAAGCCGTCTGCAGCCCTCAAATTTACTCCCCCTCAAGATACTTGGGTCCAAACTGACCCATAAAATTTCTCTTGCAGATTATTTACTTTTCCAATGATATATTTAGCATTCTTACTAGGAAAGTAAAATTATACACCGAAATGTTAATTACATACATTTTATTTCTTTATTTATTTATTTGGGTTGTACAATGATGTTCCCCAAACAAAATGCGTGATAATGAAATGCACACACACACACAGTACAAAAACGACGATGATATGACACGAGTTTTACCTTTAAAAGTTTTATTTAGAGTAGTGCAAGTAGTGCAAAGTAATTTTGTCATCTATTTTGCAAACACCAACGCCATATTACCCCTTTTCGAATAAAATCTAAACAAAAAATAATTTTGAGGAAGTGTTTATGGGATTTCAATTTTTCAAATCTACTTCTCTTGATGAAGTTCGTGGCAGGTGTGTTCTACGTTCAAAAACGGCTTTACAAAAGATTCCCCAAGTTTTCTATAAGTTATAAAGAATAACATTTTTTATTAGACATCTCAATTTATTTTTGTAAACAAAACATTTGAATTGATGTAAGATGTATATTGTTAGTGAACTACAATAGGCCACCACATTTATTTTGGTTTTCGATGCATGAGAACTAATTGTATCAACTTCTCCCTTTGCAGAATTATTCAGTGCTATTATGTCTGATTTCTTTTCTTCAGACTCGTACTTTCTTGCATTAGTGTGAACACACATGTTCTTTCAGAACACATACGATACTAATGTCGGGTCACTCAAAAAACAAAGAATAGCTACTATACGCGCAAGTTTTCTTGATACTCCTTAGCGGGTGAGGAGGGATTTGGCTACGTCGCGGCTGAAAAGGGCGTACCAACTGCGGGCATGGACTTAATTCGCCAAAGCATGCCACGCATTGTAAATTGGTACGTGCCGTTCCGAGTCAAACCTAAGTATATCAACGTGCCGTGCTATTCAGCCCTGGATGAGGACTAGGGAGATCGTGTATCAATAAAACTTGCGCGACTAATAGTTTGTGTGCCCTTGTCTGGAAATGTTTTGGTGGTAAAGAAAATTTGTTTTTGCGCAGAGTTCCAACGAGAGTCATGTTCCGTTTCAGAAGCTCCTGACCCAACTTATGATAAAAAAAAAATTGTCAGGAGTTATATTTTTACCCGGAGATTATCCCAATAACGTACGCTCTCCCACCAACGCTCGTTGAATCGAGATCCGACGCCTCCGCACGCTTCTCGATTGAGTAGGAGGACGTAGTGCGCATGCGCTGCCGCTACTCGATCCGTCTTGAAGGTGTTGGAGACAATCGTTAACGTCCTCAGCTGCGCTCGCACACTGCCTGCGTTGCATAGTCACGTTGGTGCCGATCGCGCGTAAGACCGAATAAATTAAAAAAAAAACATGAACTCAAAGGAAAAAATAGAATTTATTTCCTTGAATTGAATTATTGCCTTATTTTACGTGGCGAGACTCAGGCCATGAGGCCCGCTCTTCCGTCTGACCACGCAAATTTTGCTACGCCCCTTTCACCAACGAGCAGAGAAAGAAGGTATTTCTTGGGCGAGAAACAGGCAATTTGAATTTAGGTGAGAGCGTAGGCTTCCGCGGCCGGAGTCAGTATTTACTAGGCTGTCCGGGTGACGCCGCGTCCATGGCGAAGGTGCGAAGGCGCCTTAGGACAGCCTAGTAAATACTAATTTGAATTTAGCTCAGAGGCGTCATTTAGGCTTGAGGATCTTTTACATGCAAGTAAATCTACTAACATGGGACAGCCGACCTTACTTCCCCTCCGAAGGAAGGCGTACGAAGGATTTTTTCGCCCTTAAATATCCACGGCTTCGATCGGGTTTGAGCTCGCCAACTTGGGTACAACAGTCCGATACGCTAATCGTTAAACCGTTAACCATCGCTGCGCGTTGCCACACGACTTGCACACCAAAAGGAAACGCCACTGCAACACAGTACGAGGATTTTCCACCAAGTGCAGCAGTGGATTGGAAATGAATTGAACCCTGAGCAGTGGCTGTGGAAATTGACCAAGAACGACTTGATCCCAATAATCATTCCGCAGGGCCCAGCTGCGGCGAAACTGCTACAGCTTATCTCCTGTAAGTGCGAGGACTGGCAGGAAAGTTCTGACTATAGATGAGAAGATCTCTTCTGCACAAAACTATCTTCACTGCAAGAGGTCGAGCTCAAACATCGAAGGCCCATTGGACTTCACGACCCTCCCCTCCCCCGTTGCGGTACCACTGTCTGACGCAGGTAAGGTGACAGAAGGTACTAACTCGTACAACGTTTCATGGCATTACCGTTGAGTCACATATTCACTATTCATATTTTCAGTACAATAAATTATTTTTCCGATTGAGGAATCACCCACATTGGTCAACCTTGATCTTTCATTGCCCGAGGTAACCTTCTCCCAGCCACGATCATCCAGATCCAGACTCGAAAACAACAACAAATAACGACATCAGTGGCAGCAGGTATTTCTTAATATATTAAATGTAGGTACATGCTAGCACGATTGAATAATACGAGTCAGCTATCACCCAAATTTATATAAAAGTTATAAATATGGACAGAAGAACACAATCTCTTTCGAAAAAAACTGTTGGCAACTTACATGCCCTGCTTAAAGTTGATAAAGCAAAATCTACAACCCACCATCCTGTGTCGCGTTCGCTGTGGCAGTGAAAGTTGTACCACATCCTAGTAATTTAAATATTATGGTTGATAATGATGTCACACAGATGCCAGTTAGGGAACGGAAACTCTCAGATTGGATGAAGGATTGTTTTAATATTGTTTGTAACAAAATATTTTGAAGTTTGTATAGAATAAAAACAGAAAGGTAAGAAGAGTGATTGCCCATTGATATTTCCTAAAGAGCCAATGGTGGGAGAACACAGGTTCAAAAGTAGCGCGGCAGGAGATAGGTAGTCAGTCTCTCTGCCATGTTGGAGGCAAAACACTACTTATTAACCCGATATTCCCAAAACACCAAATATTCAACCAAATAAATGAATTCAAATATTTCTAAATGAAAATATTAAATTATTTATTCCAATTGGTGTAACTGGGTTAAGACAAATACAATATTGTTATAATTACTGTTTATTAGTAACAATTAAAAATATCAATATGATGCTAAAAATAATTTTAAACACTACTCTTTCAAGAAAACATTTTTTACAAATAGTCCAATAAACAAGTAGCAAATATCCTAAAATACTGAATCAATAATGAAAGGAAACTTTTTTTGTTCAAAAGGGTTCACATTAACTCTGTACAATTTTTTTTTCAAAAAGTAGAATTTTTTATATTGAAATATTCTTTGAAAATTGAGCACAACTATTTAAGTATAGAAATTCTCTTTCAATTTTGACAGTTTACTGGCATTTCAATATATTTAAGTTACTAGTACAAATGCTGAAACAACCTATACTTTAAAAGTAAATTAAGAGTAATTTTGTTAATATAGAAGAATACATAGAGTCATTTGAATCTAATCAATATCCAATGTTAAAATTAAGTAAATTTTGAAGTAACAATCTATTTTTCAAACAAAAAGAGATTATCATTGAACAAATACAAATTGAAATCAAGGGTAATATAGGAAAAATGAGCACATTTCACATATTTAAGGATTTAATTTCCCGTCTTATTTTTAGTAACTAAGGAATATTCCAATAAAACATATTATAAATGTAGTTATAGGCTTATCATAAAAATGAATGGAAAAGGAAATTGAAACTTATATATTTGGCTAAGCATTCTTCACAAGTTTAAAATCATTTTGTAGTAAGCCAATTACAATTTTGTTTATGCATCAACTGGCACATGAACAACCTTCTCATCATCAAACTAAATGTCATGGTAAAACACACATCCAAATTTTAAAAAACTGTATGTGGTTATCTGTCCTCTTTCAATAAAAGACTTCATACAAATTGTTCAAGCTTTATACGTTTCAGATCTTTTATATCAATTATTAAGATTACATAAAGTGTTTTTAATGTCATACATATTAAAAATGTATATTAAAAAATTCAAAATACAAATTTATCTAAAATTAAAAAATTGAATATAGTATCTATAGATAATACTGACCATTGACAGTCCTATTTCATTTCTTTAACAGTATATGAAATAAAAATATAAAAGATACACACAAATACTACAATACTACTGATGAATAAACTTTCTAAATGTGTGAATGGTTTTGTTCATTAATTTGCATTATATTTAACCACAATTTTTTGTTGTCCTTGAAATTACAAATAATTGATACAAGCAGGTATTTGATGTAACAAAATATTCTGTTTATTCCATATCGAGAAGTACACAAATCTTTGTATTTACAATACTTAGTTGTGAATTACTGAATTTTGAATTAATCACATTACAATTGATTTTTGGCATTAAACAAATATTAAAACCTTTCATAAATGTTCTTCAAAAATACTATTCATATTTATAATAAAAACAAATCAACGAACAAACCTCATAAAAAATTGGACGTACCAGAAATTTAAAAATATATGTCTTAGCCGTAGCAATGGTAATCTTTCATTACAATATGTTCATGTTCATACAAATTTTCACTTACAAATATTACAAAATACAAAATTTTATAAAATTTAAAAACTATTTAATTGGTAACATTTCTCACCCGTGAAGTTAAGGCTGAGAACTGCAAAGTTCATAAAACTTAAAAATTAAAAGAACATTACACCGTTTACATAATTTACCAACTCTGTATAACTAGCATTACTTAGAATAAAATATGATCAATTCAAAAGGATTAAAATATTTGTACGAGCGTGAATAAAGTTGCAAAACGCGATCTCATGTTTTAAGTCAGAACAACTACCTTCGTCTGCGCTGCTTATCAAGATTTTCTTTCCTGCGGTGGGCTACGGCCGAACCTCTAGGTTGGAGCTCTTCAGGAGGCCTTCCTTCCCCTTCGGCTGTCTCCATCGAAGAGCCCTTAGCCGCACTACAAGGCGACTGTCTCTCATGGGGAAGGGGCAAAGGTGCGTCACTGAGCGCATTAGGTGACGCACCTGAGGACACAACCTTCTGTGTCGACTCTCGTTTAGATTTCATCGAGAAATCGTTAAATGCTTTTTGACTCTGAAAGGATGGACTCTTCTCCGAAACATATCGACGCACCCTCAAAGAAGTGTCAATTGGCGAAGGCACTGAAGCAGTAGAATCACACGGCGAGACAAAAGTAGAAGGCATTCTAGGAGTGGCCATTTGATCAACAGGCTGCTGAGAAGTTTTGGGTGGAATTTCAGTCTTCTCATGGGAGGTTGATATCAATTCGGAAGACGATGTTCGAAGTCCATTGGCGTGTGATCTTTGTGAAGGCCTCTCTTCGCTACCTTTCGGTGCATCTTCTGACGTTTCAGTCTCGTGAGCCCCTTGTGATTCCCCTTCGTCTGACCCATGTGACGAAATTATACTCCACATTTGTGGCGTCATTCTTTGCACCAAACTCAGTTCTTTGAAGAGTTTACTTTTCGTGGTATGATTCTCACTCACGGCGGAAGAACTAGAAATCTCCTTCAGAAACACATGCTGTGATGTTTCCTTGGATACTTTCTGCGTTAACAAGTCCGAATTCTCCCGTTTCTCAGATGGAGTACCACAAACTTTGGCCGACAATTCCACATCCTCCAGCCCAACGTTAGTGATAGATACGTTTGGTGGAGTCTGCTCTATGAAATCATCTGTTTCCGTTTGTAAATTCATTAAATGTGTCTGAGGACCCTGCATTTCTACATTTTTCGGCGGCGCTTTTTTATAATTTGTCATAGGGTATTTTCCAACAGAAATTTCCGCAACGCTTGTGAATGTTTCTGTCGTATTAAGGGGTCTACTGTCTATAGAATGATCATTGAGCCTACATACGACAGAAGTTACTGGTGATGGAAGCTCATTAGAATCTTCCAGATATACTTTTTGAAACTTCATTGTTGTAGTATCCGTCTCCAATGCGACAACAGATTTACTTGAATCAATGTTTTGATGGGATGAGGATAACGCAATTAAGGTCATCGCAACATCCATTCTATCATCCATTGACGAGTCGTATAGAGGATTTTCAATTGATGCTTGAAAAGTAGAGTCACATTTTTGGAGTGTTAGATTCTCAATACCCAGGGGTGAAACTTTTGGAGGTTCGTTTTGCAAATCAGGGAGCGTGACTTCAGTTGATTCTACAACAGATGTTTCAATCTCGGCTTTTGTTGATAACTTTCCCTCTGCGCCTAGGTCTGAGATTTTCTCGGGAAAAACTTCCGTCACGCTTGTAAATGGTTCTGTCATATAATCACATTCATGAGTAGTCCTTGACGTCGTAATTTCTGACTTTCCCCACTTGGCCTCGAGTTTTGGCGATTTCATTCTAGATGCACATGGTAAAATCGGCATGTGGACATTTGAAGATTCCGTGACACCCATAGTAAGTTCGGCCAAGTCCTTTATCATGGTCTCATTTGGTTCAGTAATAGGATCCTGCGCAAAGGCGGATTTCGACGGTTTTTCAGGAGAATCCCACACAGCGACATGTTTAGACGATGCTGCCTTGCGGTTTTTCCGCTTGTTTTTCTTGGTTGGAGTTTTTGGTGAAGATTGTTTTTCTGGCGAAGGGCCCTCCTTATAATAATTTGTTATAATCTCCGCCATTTCCCTCGATGACATCTGCGAAGCTTCTGGCATATAATCATCGGATACTTCGAGAGAGGCAAATTTTTCTGCACATTTGGTTTGTAATTCATGCAATACATCATCAGGCAACATTGTTGGTGCGATTTTAAATGATTCTGCCATGCCAATACGTGTTTCAGAATCTTGCAAAATATTTTTTCCCGTCTTTGAACCGACAATCGCATGTGAAGATTGCGGCGTCATTCCATGTGTTATATTCTCAACATTATCTTGGTATGCTCTTGAAGGTGAATACAATTCGTTCATTTCTGTAACTTCCTTTAAATTATTTGAGGTTCCTTTGGCAATCGGTATTCTATCGGTCATTTTAGAACCGTTTAGCTTGGATTCATTTTTTGATGTCATTTTTGATTTTGTAATAGATTCACTCGATTTTGACAAATAAATAACTCCCTTTATCTTACTTGCATTTGTACCTTCCCGTGTTTCCACTGAAGCCTTCTGAGAAGGACTAATTGATGTAGATTCAGTCTGCTCACCTCGTTTCTTTTTGTGCGACTTGGATTGCTTTGAGAGTTTTTGCGACGTGTTGGGTGAGGGAGCGGTTACTGATGGATAAATAGCTTGCTCGAGCCCGGAAGACTCGCCCAAAGTTGATTTCATAGTTGACTCACTCAACGTTAATGTCATAGAATCCTTTGATATATCTTTAGAAACTTCCAACACATTTTTCGCTGATTGATCCGAACAGATTTTCGCAAGCGAAGATTTTGACATTACTGCAGGTGATACTTTCACAGTCTTTCCTTGAAATGCTTTTGAAGTTGAATTCTGCGAGTCCTTTTTTGTATCGCCCTTTGAAGCACTTGACGTTTCTTTGTCAATTCCATTGGCAATTTTAGATGGTTTCAGCTTTGTTGCATCTTTACACGTCATCTCTGATCTTGTAACAGATTCATTAGAATCCTTTACCTGTTCTCTACATTTCGGTGAGCTTTTCCTTATCATAAGCATTGAAACATTAGACTTCACGTAATTTTCAACAGAAAACATTTTAACACCCTTTACCTCATTCTCATTCGCATCTACACTTGTTGGCATTGGCATCTTTGCCGAAGAACCCTCTGATGACTCAGTCTGCGTACCTCGTTTTTTCTTGAGCGATTTGGATCGCTTTGAGGGTTTTTCATACGTATTGGACGAGGAAGCGATCACTGGTGATAAAATAGCTCGATCAAACGAGGGAGACCTAGTCGAAGTCGATTTCATTGACGTGTCAGCGGCCTTTGGTGAACCCGATGCGCCATGAGAAGCCGTTGTAGGTTTTCCTGGGGAAGCTTCCAGTTTTTGGAGATTCCGTGGAGCGGGTTTGGGTTTGATTTCCGGGGTTATACCCTTCACCAGTTTCCTTGGAGAGATCGGCGGTGGAGTGATGGTGGGAGTACCATTTGCGAGAATCGCCCTCGGAGTGATCACTGGAGGAGTTCGTCTCGGCGTAGAACCTGTAGACGTGCACGTAGACGGGCCTAAAGCTTTCATTATTGGCGTTTTCTGTCTCTCATGAAGCAGAGGGTTCTGTAGTTTTTTGTTTTTTAACAGAGCGGGATTGATTTTACCACTATCCACGTAGTATGTGAGATGCTCAATTGGGCCTAAATACTCTTCAGGAAGCAACTGTGCCACTTGGGTGATTTTGTATGTTTTTGCTTTCCGAGAACCAGGAAGACATCGCTTTGGAGAGACTAGTGTTAAATATTTGGAACGAAGAGTTCGCTCAGGCAGTTTTGAAGCAAATTCAATAATTTCGTTCCACTGAAAGATAGGATGGCTGAAATCCGTAAATGCTTGGCGTATCGTCTTGCCCAACTCGCTGAAGAGAACTGAATAAAGGTTTGCTCCAAATTTCAGAAACATGTATACGATATCTTTCTTTTTAGCTATGAATGCTTCATCTAGAGGAACACGGCCTCTGATGTCTCTGAGGTTTATATCGGCACCATTTTCAAGTAAAATCTTTACACTAGAACTGACACCCATGAAAGCTGCGATGTGTAAAGGAGTACAATTCATTGAGTCAGGTGAATTAATGTCTAGACCCAACGTTACAAGTAACTTCACAACTGAGGATTTACCACTCATTGCTGCATGGTGAAGTGCATTTCTATTGACTGAATCCAAAAACGTCGAATCTGCTCCTTTAGAAATGAGATGCAGAATTGTGTCGAAGTTTGACCTTGATAAGCAGGCGAAGTTCAGAAGAGGTAATCCATTTTTATCGAAAGTATTCACATTTGCACCTTTGCTCAAAAGAAAATCTATTACGTCAATTCTATTTCTCTTCGTAGCAAAGTGTAAGGCTGTAAGCAGATGTTCTTTTGTATTCTCAACGAGACCATGTGCGGCTAGAATTATATCGAGAGCTTCCACATTGCCTCTCTCTGCTGCTATGTACGTCGGCGTTTGGAAATTATTGTCTAAAATATTAGGATTAGCGCCGTGAGACAGTAACAATTCAATGAGCTTCACGTTATCACCCTTAACAGCAGTGTGTAACGGAGACGTACCATTCGATAATGTGGCGTTTACGTCAGCACCGTTTTCCAATAGCACTGCAACAATTTCAACAGCGCCGTCGATAATCGCCAAATGAAGGGCTGGGAGTTCAGAAGATGAATGCGATAGGTTCGGATTTAATCCCATTTCAAGTAACGTTCTGGTCATTTCCGGGTTTTTCGAAGTGTTTGCTAAGTTAAGCAATTGACAGTCAGAAGGATTTTTTGGGTCCACCACTGCTCCGCCCTCCAGCAGAGCTTTCAAAACTAGTACGTGGCCACAAATTGCAGATATAATAACACACATTTTTAAGTTTTTTTCCAGATCGCCTTGCGCGCTTACTCTCAACAACTTCTTTACTATTGCTTCATTGCCTCCTAATGCCGCGTAATGCAAACAGTTCAAGTTATTAGAGTCCGTAAGGTTTGGATCAGCTCCCCGACTTAACAACATGCCAAAGATTTTCAGATTTGCCCTTTTTGCTGCAATGTGCAAGGGTGTCACACCATCTCTATCTGCTAGATTAACAGGATGGCGTCTTACTAACAAACCCACGACAATATCCAGATTATCATAAGCAACGGCGTGATGCAAGGGAGTGCTTCTGCGTATATCACGCAATTCGGTGGGATCAGCGAACGGATACATCACGCAAACGGTATCGAAATGCCCCCTCGCAATTGCCGCTTGCATAGCAGAAGTCTCGAACTTGTCAGTCACGTACACACTCGCTCCCGCATCCAAGAGCGTTTTCACACATTTACTGTGATTCTCTTTAGCGGCGTAATACAACGCCGAGCGCCCCAGCTGATCGCGAACGTGGACGGTTTCCGGATCCTTCCGAAGCAGTTCTTGTAACATCAAATCCGACCCGGCCTCTGCCGCAAGCATCGTGGGAGTTCGCCAGCCCACGTCTCTCGCGTTCACCGCGGCGCCTCGCTTTAGCAGCACTTTTCCCACCTCCACATCCCCTTTCTGGCAAGCGACGTGCAACGGCGTTCGGCCGTCGTGCTTACACAGGTCACAATACATCCCATGAAACAGAAGCATCCTCATTATATCTTTGCGGCCGTAATACGCCGCTAGATGCAACGCGGACACGCTGAACAGACCCGGATCGCCGACACCGTTTTCCACCAAAATTTTCGCAAGATTCTTAAGCCCTTTGTAAACAGCTCGCGGCAAAGGCAACACGGGAGGTTTCGATAAGTCGAGCGTGCAAATATACGGGGCGTCGTTGAAGCAATCGTTCGAGTTGTTGACCAACTCCTCCGTTAGTCCTAGAAGAGTCGGATCCAAGAGTTGGGGGGAAACTGCGAAGAATTTGGGCTGCGCGAGCGGCCGCGTCGCGCGGAGCCTGTCCAAAATGGCGCGCCTCTTCTCGTCGATTTCCACGTTCTCTGCCCTCGCGCGCTCCAACAGGTCGGTGAGATCGGCGGAATCGGCACCGCGTCCCAACAACAGCTCCACGATCTCCAAACTGTTCGAGAAACTTGCATACTGCAGAGGAGTCCATTCCAATACGGAGTCGCGAATGGTCACGTCGGCTCCAGCCTGCAAACATTTTGCAAGCGCTCTTGACCAGAGCAGTTTTTGGTTTTTGTGTATATTACGCTTAAATAAAATGCCTGTATAAATGATAAAGTTTTCGTGCAGATTCTCACAGTGTTTTTGAACAGAAACTTCAAGGTCCCAAACTATAAGTATAATAGCCAAAAGTCGCGCATACGCTGTTCGTTTTCTGCAGGACTCGCCACAAGACGCCGCTAGGGGTCTACAGAATTGCGCGGTCCGCATACTTTCATAAGCGGTATTTCTGTGCGTGCGTTCTGGGGGTGGTCATTATTAAGTATTAGTTAAGCATTAGTTAAGCATTAGCACAGAGAAGAAAAATAGTAAGGCAGGAATTGGGAAGAGGTAGTTCATCACAATATCACTTCACACAATCTCAACTATGCACACTTAACCATAAAATCCAAAGGGCCGATTACCGTCCCGTCTGGTAGGCAAATCCGTTAGTGAACGATTTGGTACTAGAGGAGCTTGTGTCAAACTAATCGTTCTGCATTAAAAATTAAGAATATGCTCAAAAGTTTTCATACAGAAATTGTGCAGTCCGGACTGCAGGTTTTCTGTACGTCTAATCTGCACGAAAACTGTACCGCGTATACCGACCTAAAGGAATGTCTTTCCATGTCTTTCGGCAGAAAGGAAAGCCACATTGATTGTCCAGAAATAAATATTTGAAGGCATTATAATGCCCCGTAATAAAAATTGTAATGATACACTACATGCTTTATAGTTAAATGAGATATTTAGAGACAAATATTCTAAAATAAATTTCCGGGTTGATAAATATCAAGTAGAAAAGATCACATCAGCTTGTCCAATTCTAGCAAAGTCCGAATACTTACAAGAACAGTATAAAGACTATTTTTACTTCTAGTAGGTGTTCTGTAACGCCTTCCAAGTTCCAAACAGCTATTTTAAGTGATAAAACCTTTGATCAAACCTTCTACCAAATTTTTGGTGTCTGATACAGCGGCTTCCCTTCTAGACACTTCTCTCCGTTCCTGGCTATGCGATACAACTTAATGTGCGCGCCGGTACCTCGTTAGCCCATATGCGAAGGTTAAAAATCCGAAATATGGATATTTCCAAAATTGTCGGTTAATTTTTACTAAGAGAATTTGACTAAACCTTTATGAACAATGAACTTATTTTCTACATCCTCCAGCTAACGTCATTGGTCTCAAAGCGCTTGATTAAGTTGATTATACGTCTGAAATTTCTGCGTTCGCAAGGACTATTTTAGCAAAAAATGCGATGAAAATTACGTGTTTCACAATGAGCATTTGTTGTTTCCAGGTGCGTCAATTACTTGCGTCACTAGCCCCGGGAGTGTAGTGGATGTTATAGATAGGAGCTGACCGTGTTTCTCCCCTGCTGAACGGTGAGGCCAGGCATTGACTTACACGTCGGTTTCCGGGGTTTCCCTTTAGGCATCTCCTCCAGCGGGCCACCGACTGGTCTCTCGTTATGCTCGAGTTCTTGGGTGTATCGAACCATTTCTAAAATCGTCATGAATGTATTTTACGTATTTTCATCTTCTCTTATGTGCCCTTTAAGAAATAAAAAAAATTTATACATTGTTTTTCATAAGAGCTTCCACCCTTATTTTTTTATGACGATTATTATTTATATTAATATTATCAGTACTCTTGTAATAAACTTCATATTCTATCAATTATTAATTTGGTCATACTTGAATTTTTAACAAAGAGAAAACTTTTAATATTTGTTTTGAAAACTTAACTTTTTCTATGATGTAACCTAGAACAACAACGTAGCTTTCTCTAACGTTCCTCAAATAACTTCATTTTTTCGCCTACTTCTTCGTCCTTTTCTTCGCTTCTTTTCTCTTCCCTCTTCCTCACAAATTTTATTTTTAATTTTAGACCCCTTCCCCTGAACGTCTCTTCTTTTCTCT